TTATCCTTCTGGAGATGCTGACTTTATTATACATTTGGGTCACACTTTTCTTTTGAAAATCACTATAGGTATACTCTTACATACTGTGAAAAGGCATAGAATTTCCTTTATAGACAACTTCATTTATCTACCATATAACATCAAATGTACCTATAATCCCAAGTATGATTCTTCTGAGGGAAAAAATTCAGATCAAATACATTAGGAAGAAAAAACACATAAACTAAATAGACCATAAACTCTACTGGGACAAAGATCATTATTTTGCATATTTTTAAATTCCTGGGAGAATTCTCAAAAATTTTCAGTTAATGAATAGCAAATTGATTTATTGGTTAAACTAGCAACTATGGAGCTGCCTAACAGTATCAGTATAAAATAAATGTATATTTCACCAAAAAACTGGCTTCTAGATATTCATTTTAGTTATTGTGAAACAACATAATTTAGTACCAGATGTTTAACAAGCACCTGTTGTAACTGCTAAACTGTGAAATCAGTATTATTTGTGTCTAACCAGCTATACAAAACTCATCAATTTTTCTTTTGACAAAAGGTAGTAGAAATCCCAAGGAATGAGGAAGAGACTACTCAGTTAAGGTCATGTTTACTAATCTAGCACCATAATTCCAGTCTTAGAATTTTCCATGCAGCTGGAAGGAAGATATGGAGAAAGATGAGGATGTTGGAAATGCAAGGGTAGTTCTCAACCTGGAGCCCCATTTTGCTCCAAGGCAAAAAACATAGGGTCTAGCTAAGAAGAACGTTGCTGAGGCTGGAGGGAAAAACAAAAGTTTTTGGTTCAGATGGAAAAGGGAGGCTCTCAAGAGAAGATTAGTGTATCCAGAAGGCAGTGTTGGAGTCGACCTCATGAACTAGGCGGTTTCTTCTTGGCATCCAAGTCCTTTTTAATTTCTTCAATTTTTTTAGCCAGGTTTGGTATGTCATAGTTTTGAGCCAGATACATTCCAACCACGTTGCCCAGAGTAAATCCAAGCAAGAACTGGAGCATGGTGGCGCAGGCGAAGGGCGGCGGTCTGATGTATTCTTTTGTAGAAAAAGGTCTTGCTACACTGTATTTCTTAGGTTGGTCATGAACTGCTGAATTCAGGTAATTCCCCTGTTTCAGCCTCTCAAAATGCTGGGATTACAAGCACGAGCCACCATGTCTGGAGGATACTGTGAATTCAAGGCAACATAATGCCCACAAGATTTATCCTCTCTGTAACACATGAAAACGTGTTATTTAAAGTTGGAGTCTCACTCTGTCACGAACGCTGGAGTGCAGTGGCACACTCACAGCCATCACAGCCTCAGCCTTCTCTGCTTAAGTGACCCTTCCACCTCAGTCTTCCAAGTAGCTGGAACTACAGGCGTGGACTACTCTGTCTGGCTTATTTTTTCATTTACTATAGGCATGAGGTCTCACTAAGTTGCCCAAGATGGTCTTGAAACCCTGGGCTCAAGCAGTTGTCTTATCCCAGCTTCCCAAAGTGTTTGTATTAAATGTTAAACCACCATGCCCAGCCAACCTAATTTTTTTGTTTTTTTGGGTTGGAGTCTCACTGCTTTGCCTTGGCTAGAGTGCAGGGGGATGCTCATGGCCACCCCAACGTTGACCTTCTGGACTCTAACAATCCTTCCATTCCATCTCACCCTTCTGAGAGCCAGAACTGCAAACACGTGCTACAGCATGCAGCTATTTGTTATTTTATTGTACAGACAATGGAAGACTGACAGTGATCAGCTAGGTTATAGATTCTGGTGCTACTCAAACATGTTCTCAGGATGTGTTGACTCTAGACTTGTGTATATTTTGAGTTCAAGAGATTGTCCTCAGTTTCAGATCTCATAATCCTTTCTTCACCAGTATACTTTCTGTGGTATTGCAGCTATTCTGGTGCTGTAATAAGCATTCACCTTTCTATAGACACAGACCTGTCATCCACAATATTCCATCATTTTCTTCTTCACTCCATGTCAAGGGTGACAAAATCCAGTCATCACGCATCTCCATAAAAAGCAAAAACTTTGAACACATGATCACTGTTGCAGGCTTCTCCTGAGGGAGATAACTTAGAGTTGGAAGTTTCCTCCTGAGTCCATTGTGGTTTCTGAGAAAGAGGAGGCATGTGGCCTACCTGGTACCTTTGTAGAGAAAAAAAGGAAAAAAAGCCCTGTAATACAAAAGGAGAGAAAACAATAGCCATATCATTTAGTAGTTGGGAATACGTGACACAGATGAGATATCTAAGAAAAAGCCACAATTTAAAATATGGATTAGGAAGCTGCGTTCCAAGGAGAATAATTTTTGGCTGCCACAGAGGGCCATCTCTTTTTACATATGCTCTTCAGTCCTACATTTTCTGTTTCCTTTTCAATGTGTTTCCATCACTTTCCCCATGAGAGCTTCATGTGTTTTGATGGACAACATGACATGACTACTCTTCCACTCCTTTGTGAGTTTTTAGGAAATCTGGACATATTTCTAGTGACTCCTATTTTCAGCCATTTGAAAAAGTCTGTGGGAAGGCACAGTGGCTCAAGCTTGTAACCCCAGCAGTTTTGGGGGCCTGTGTAAGGGCATTGTCTGAACCCGTCGGAGCTCAACAAGCCTTGGTGAGAATTCATCTCTACAACAAATCAAAAATTAGCTGAGCATAGAAGCACATGTGTGTGGTTCCAGCTATGTAGAAGATCCAGGTAGAAGGATATCCAGAGTCCAGCAGTTCAATGCTGGGATGTCCATGAGCATGCCTCTGCACTCCAGCCTGGGCAACGGAGTGAGAAAAAAATTAAAAAGCTCTGTTTATGTCACAAGTCAGAATTGTATAAGGGAAGTTGTGGAGTTATTGGGATTTGGTTTAGAAATCCCAAGAGCGCCAGGCTCAGTGGCTCAACCCATAATCCCATGCTTTGAGAGGCCGAGTTAAGTGGAATGCCTGATCCCGTGGGTTCAAGACCCACCTGGGCAACTTGGCGAGACCTCATCTCTACAATAAATTAAAAAATTAGCCAGGTGTGGTAGCGCACACCTCTACTTCCAATTATTTGGAAGGCTGAAGTGGAAGGATTGCCGGAGCCCAGCAGGTTGAGGCTGTGGTGGACAGGAGCATGCCACTGCATTCCAGTCTGGGTAACAGAGTGAGACTCCAACTCAAAAAAGAAATCCCAAAAGCCCTGGGGTCAGGTGTGTCACATGATTTCTGCATTATAATGTCCCATTTTTTGCTTTTCTTGAGTTATCACACTGTCACCCACACTGCAGTGCAGTGGTATGTTCTCCCCTACCATAGCTGCTGGGCTCTGGTGATCCTTCTGCTTCAGTCTTCAAAGTAGCTGGAACCACAGGTGTGTGCAACCATGTCCACTACTTTTGATTTATTGTAGAAGCAATATGTAGCCAAGTTGCCCAGGCTGATCTCAAAACCCTGGTTTCTGGAGATCCTCTCACCTCCGCCTCCCAAAGTGTTGGGATTATAGGTATGAACCACTCTATGGAAGTTTAAACATGATATTCCAGGAATTTAGATCTTTTTTTATTTTTTGAGTTGGAGTCTCACTCTGTGTCCTAGGCTGGAGTCCAGTGGTACACTCACAGCCACCCTAGCATCGACCTGCTTGACTCTACTGATACTTCCGCCTCACCCTTCCAAGTAGTCTGGACTACAGGCATGTACTACCTCACGCAGTGGTGTCACCAAATTGCTTGGGCTGACTTAGTAATTTTTTTCAGAACACAAACCATTGCATTAAGTTGAAGATAATTTAATCTTTTATTACATTAACATTTTCTTTTTCTTAGTATGAACTAGGGTTACAAATTTAAACTGTTTTTGCCTAAATATCTCTGCTGTATAATAGTATAACGTATCTATTCACCTCACTGAAGTCTTAAAAATACTAATCCTGCAAAGTGAACTTAAATCATTGCTGACCTTCAGGAGTTGTAATTCTATAAGAAAGTGATTGATAGTAGTGGGATACTGACAGAGGAGGGAGGGGCACACCTCATCAACAAGGGATCCTGCAAAATGAACATTTGTATATGTAACCTTGAGTTCTATCCCACATCATTAAAATAAAACATTTTTAAAAATTGTCAAACATATAGTTAATTCCCTATTGTTACCTTTTTCTTTAAAGTATCATTTTTCAATTGTCTCTTTTTTAGTATAAAAAGTAGTGGGACTATGTTTTATTTCATTTCACTTTTAAATTTGAAGTATATTAGGTTACCTGTCATTTTAGTTTGAAAAGTTCTGAAATACCATACTTGAATTTACATATTAAATAAAAAGTGGCCGGGCTCAGTGGCTCAGCCTGTAATCCCGTGCCTTTGGGAGGCTGAGGTGAGTAGATTGCCTGAGCCCGTGGGTTCAAGACCTGG